ATTTCTCTAAACATGAAAGCAATCAATAACCAGCTATGGCCCACAATCCCGAAAGATAAAATGCATGTTTTACACACATTTTTTCACATTCCGATGTCTCGTGTCCCTGTCAGACCATCACCTCCACAGTCCCAAAACCGAAATCCCCTAAATATCGGAGGCATCGTACGACGATCAACAAACTACTCTAGATCAACAGAAACTTACGGAACATAATATTAATTAGAAACGAAAATTAATAATCGCCACACACAGTAAATAGCCAGAAGAATTTACTGTAGCTTAGCTCACACTGCCGCCACCAACCGGCAAAGCCAGTGAAATGGATGAAGAGGAGGCCGCAGAGCATGCTGGGAAAACGAAAGCTGTTTGTGGCAGCGCCGGATTAAAATTCTCAACGTTAAAGTCTGGTTATATTTAGAATAATATTTTATTTTATTTTAAGCAACCATACTTCATTATTTTAATTTCATTTGTTATTTTTCATTTCTTTGAAGGGATGAAACTAAAGAGGGCATATAATAGCCTACTTGGCTTTCAACCCTGCCCAGTTAGCCGGCGTTAGCTTCCCAAAAGGCCCGTTGACAAATTACTGTACATAGTTGGAACCATTCAGCTGCATGGTTACAATAGCTAAATTATGGGCGAAACAATGCTTTTGAGAACCCCCCCCCCCCCCTCCCGTCTACTACCTGAGCCATCATGCTGCATGACATCCAATTTGATTCAGTTTGTATAGCATCTTTCCCAACATTGTTGCCCCAAAGCACTTAACAAAGAGTCAAAGAAACTTATTTAATGAGGTACAACAGATTAAGGTAACAGTAGTAAAATTTTATATTAAATAAAAAAGGAGACATATGGATTGTGCAAAATAAAACTCCGTAGTTTAACATAGGAGAAAAAAACTGAGTGCAAGGTCAGTAAGCCTTTCAGTTTTAAAGTAAGTTTTATAAAACTGAAGCAGTTCAAAGTGTCCTCCCTGACACAGATTATATGGACACCATCTTTGTAACACACAAAAAAGCCAGGAATCTGTATTACTATGTTGGTTGCTTGGTTCAGCCGGTTGGTGTTTTCTGTCTTCAACTTGTGCTTCTGGCCGACGAAATCGTGCATAACATGTCTCTGTACTAAGATTTATTGTTGAATATATCAATTGCGCTTCCGTACAATTCTTGCTGCTGCCTTTTGTTTCTCACAGCAAGTGTTTAGTATCATCACTATTAAGAACAGCTTTTTGTGCTAGGAGTGAGCATGACTTGTTACAAAGGTTATGAGTTGACTTCTGTGATGGTAAATATTTTTGCTCAATTGGTATGTATTCTACCATATGTGATACTTTTACTGTTTTTGTTTTCCTTCGGCATTTTGCCATTTTCTTGCTCTTTGGCAGTGCCAAAAAGGGGAAAATGCACACAGGCTCAGGTATTTGCATGTAAGCACTATATGCTCTGACGATAAGAAAACCACGTGGTTATTTAATTATGAAGTTCTGTCTGGTCTGAAGCTATAATTGGTCATGACTTGAAGCCAGTTAGAATGTCATGTTTGGATTAGAATCTGAGGAAACCTGAAGGGCAGACATCCTTGAATATACATTTTCAGTTGAAATTGTATTATATTGAGTTTAAATCCAAATGCTTTAAATATTTTTGAAAGAGAATTACTTAATTTTATGTACGCATGCATTGCTTCGTCCAAGTGACTGCAACACTGACATTTTGATTTTTTTTAATGTTTCTAATTTTTACATTGTCCAGTAGAGGGCATTAAAACGACATTTAGTGCAAATGGTGCCATGACGAAAAGGCTTCTCTCCCGGTATTCTCACAGTCTAGGGCATGTGGCCTTTCTGATCCTCAGTGTGGAGCCAGAAGTCAAATGTTGGTAGTTGGCCTTTCCACCTGACACCTGTCCTTCAGCTCTGCTACAAGCCACTCCAGCTTGCCTGAGAGCAGCCTCCCAAAATTCCGCAGGACTAAACCCATGTTGTGAGTGCGCTTGCTTGGGCAAAAAAAGTACTGTTTCCCCACTTCACCCTGGAAACCAGAGACAAAGTCAATATATGTATGTAACAATTACATATCAAGTACATTTATCTACTTAAGATACTGATGTGTGTGATTTATATCTTGTAGACCAGACGTACTAAACTGATGGGCTTTCATATGGTTAAAAAAAATAAAATAAATGATTGGCAAATTACTATTGTGTTTTATTTAGGCACGCTGACACTATGGTTTATCTCCCACAGATGCACTGAAACACTGTGCTCCTTTCTAGACACACCGAGTGTCTCTTACTGTGATCTCCAGGTGAGTCACTACATGCAGGTAATTGGAAACACTGTGCTCCAGTTGTTGCAGCAGTGACAGCTGACACCCGGGCTGACTAACAGTCATTGTCGCTCTTACATCTTGACCTAGCATCTCCAGGGCAGACTGGACCTCCCCTGTTTTCTCCTGCATCTAGGCAAAACACAAAATGCAGATTAACATATTCGCGTCATCTGTCACTGGAATAATTTCCATCCATATTAAAACCACAAGGTCTATTTATCAATTCAGGGTTTCTTTGGAAATATAAGTGCACCTTTAGTTTGACTTTGTTTAGGTGGGGCTGGTTGCTTGCCATCAGGTGTGTGTGTGTGTGTGTGTGTGTGGGGGGGGTTGTATGGAAGAGGGCAGAGAGGGGTATTTTATAACTCACTGATTTCTTATCCCAGGATGCTTTATGGATCTTAACACAAGGCAACTGGATAGGAGATGGAAGTGAGGCTGATGAACTGCAGACGCTCTAGATGTACACAGGCAAGGGAACACGCAGAAGGACAGTAACCCAATCAAACATGCAGACAGGCAGATGACATGAAGACGTACGAAAGCCAGGGAATCAGGCAGGTAGAGAAACCAACAACATTCGAGGATAGTGTCGAAATAAAGGATTGAATTTCTTGTATTATGCAACGTAAATCTACCATGCATTAATACAACTCTTGTTTTTTCACCATAGCAGCCTCCAGTTTCTTCAATGTGTTCATGTCTCTCCGAGCATGATCATCGCACACAAAATCGATTGGTCTTGCCTGAATGTTCCCCACCTCACCAGCAGCCAGGAAGATCAGCAGAAATATGGGTCCTGAGAAAAAAACAGAAATGGTGTCTTTATAGAACAGGTGAAGTTCCGTACTGACCGCACTGCCCACTGATTGATGCTGATCACTGCACCGCAGTGACTTTACCAAACAATGCTCCATGCTATTGCTCCACAGTGGGCAGCGGATAGCAAACTGTGATAACGCAGCATCTGTCCAGCACAGTAGTCTCTCATCTGTTCACTCCTCAAAAACACCAGCCTAGTCATTTTTAGAAACCAGTAGATGAATGTCAAACTATGCATAAAATACTGCTTTTATACCTTGCATTTAACTCCTCTCTGATGTGTATCTTGTGTCTTGTATTTATTTTCTGTCTTCTTTATGCCAGCTGTTAGTTGTCTGCTATCATGATGTCTCCAACAATAGCAAGCTGTGCCACCTGAAATTTCCACCAGCCTTGAGATTCTGATTCTGACTCTGATCAACCAAGTCAATTTGGCTGTAATTGATATGTTCACAAGATGACCAAGATGACACATGAAGTCCAAAAAAGTCAATTTTAAATGAAAGGTTCGTCAGACACGGATCTCTTCTACACTGTTCTACTACAGTGCTTCTAGCAGTTCTTTAGTCACTGCTCAGGTCCATTCCACACTGCCATGCCTGTGGGATTTGGTCGTTTGTGCTTTTCTTGTGCCATTCTTTTAAATGTGTTGTTCTGGGTCTTCCAGTGAATCCCACGTAGACCCTCCCAGTCCTTCTCAAGCTCCTCTCCCAGTTTTGTCTACCACTGGCTTTCCCTGCACATCTATTTCTGCGAAAATAAAAATCATATATGAATCATACTTTTTAAAGAGCACTTGCAAAGCCACATGTAATCAAGAGATTTCATGATTCTTCAGTGCTGATCCAAACAGTATTAAACTGTATGAAAGCAGCTAATAAACATTCACTCTTTAGCCTGGGTTAATATTCTACCTCTGGACATCCTGTTATCCACGTAGATTGACTATGCAGGGACACATTCCATTAAATCCTGGACTCTTTCCCAGAATTGCGCATACAGGGTTAACTCCCGCTTTGACCAAATTTACGGTAATAGGAAAGAAGTTCAAACCCACATAATGACCTTCACCCTATCTAAGAAATCCTTGGGGGCTTTTCTGTAAAATTTATCTGAACAGTGAAAATCTGTGCATTTAATTTTATATAGGTGTGTGTGTGTGTGTCTATATATATATACACACACATATATACATATACTGTATCTAATAGGACAAGCGGTTACAGGACACTGGAAAATCGAGTCCATGTAAATTTTCTCTGTGGAACATATTCGACTTATATACAAAAGTCTTAGGATAAATTATATATATATAATTTACACACATACATATACGTATATTGATCTACCTATCTACTTTTTTAGTTAAGTCATGGGTTAAGTCCCTTGAACTTTTCAGTAACTTGCCTGATTTGATTATATCAATATTTACTTGAGGAACATTGTCTCAGTCCAAGCTAAAGCTTTGCCAGCTGCCGTATTTAGTGTCTGCTGACATCATGACCCACCTGACAGGCTTATGCAGTTATCATTCAGCTGCACGTCTTCTCCTCCGCTCCTTAGCACGAATCCACACCAGCGGCCTGGTGCAGTTTTGAACAAGAGGCAGTAGGGAGCCGAAATAATCCTCACTGGAAATCCACACAGCAAAAGACAGCCTGACTGATTCAGTGACTTTTTGACTGATTGATTTCATTATTAAATGAGTAATTGTTTGACAGGCTTATAGACTGATTGACCGTTTGATTGATCTGTTGACTGTCTGATTGACCAGCTGATACCCACAGCCAGCTACATCCCCAGCACACGTTTAAGTGGAGATCAAAACCAGACGGGTGAATGATGGTACAACTTTACTGTATTAACACAAATACACAATATTCTGTTTTTTTCATGATTATTTCATCTACAGTTCCAAAATTCTTTCCATACGTATTACACCTCAAAAGGTCTTGCCTTCGATGACATTCATCATTTTAGAAAAACAAATTCCTGTCATCCATCACATAATATGCCACCAGAATGAAAATCAAAGGCATAATAATTACCAGAACAACATTTTAATGGTAGAAAACTAGTGCAATAAAAGTAGATCTCTGTAGAGAAATACTCGAGAAAGATGTAACCTGGTCTGTAAGAACATTTCAGCAGGCTGGTAAGTCTCCCAGTGCATCATACTGGGACTGGTATCCTTCCGGCATGGGGGAAGAGATTCCACACAACAGCATCTCTCAGGAGTGGAGCATTAAGCCGAGGGTGTTCAGAATATACAGAAATAAAAACTCAACTCCAAGCCAGGTCACTTGTGGGAGAAGCACGTTGGTGTTCTGTCTCCTAGGCGGGTCATTCTCATCCGCACAAACCTCCACACGTGCGTGGATGGATTGTAAGGATGCTAAACAGAGATAGCAAGAGGAATCTGGTCATGGATATGTTGAGCTGGGATTAAGGTTGGGGTGAGACCATGTTGAGACTGCAGCCTGGATGCGTGTGAATTGTTAAGGGTTCTGCTAAATACCAGAGAGGGAATGTTACATTAAGCTGAGCAAGGAATCACCAGTTAACTGAACACCTGGTGAAGAGAGACGAATCAGAGATGACATCACCCCTCTTCCACTTTCTCTTCCAGGGGAATCACCTCAAACAAGCTCATATCAGATATCTTTCTGCTTCCATCATGTTCCGGGAGATATTCAGTCTCTATCAACGACTCAAAAGGCGAGGAAGAAGAAGAAGAGTCTTCATCAGCTGGACTGGAAGGGTCGCAAGCTCCCTGCAGTGCGGCCAGGATTTCAGATGCAAAATATGCAGGTAAGGTGGGCGAGGGGGGGGTCTCAGGGGTGTGGCCCTGCAGCTGAACCTCAAAGCTGTGGAATCTGGAACAATGGGTGCTTAGTGGGCTCTCCGATGGGGCTGGGCCTGTAGAGAGAACAGAGTCCACCTGGTCATCAGCGGAGAGCATGACAGAGGTACATGAAGACTGAGGAAACTGAATTTTTGACTCCCCAGACTAAACACAGGTGAGTGCATACCTTCAACCTGGATATTTTGTGGAAGCTCATCTTCAGGGGAGAAGCCTTCCTCATGCAAGTCTTCATTGGGGTCGTCATCATCCACGGAAGACCAGGCTTGCAGCTTAGCCTCAGCGATGGCGAACTGCTCAGCTACCCCTGAGGAGCATGAGCACCGACCTGAACACACGTGTACACACACAGACACACGCATGCAGATTCTCACACAGACACTGACTCACAGACAATCTCATTGACGAAAACTGATTCACACAGAGATTCAGGCGCATAGACAGATACTGACTCTCTCTCTCTCATGCATACACACATCCACACAGAAACACACAGACGCAGACTCACACAAAGACCATGACTCGCAGTCATAGACTCTTTGACAGACATTGACTCATAGGCACTCATTCAAACAAGGACTCACACAAACAGGGACTCACATAAAGATTCAGGCTCATAGACAGATATACAGAGACCCAGACTCATACACAGACCCTGCCTCGCAGTCATAGACTCTTTGACGGACATTGACTCATAGGCACTGACTCACACAAACAGGGACTCACATAAAGATTCAGGCTCATAGACAGATACACAGAGACCCAGACTGCCTCACACATAGACAGCCCACCTGCAGCAAAGCGTGCTTCCTGCTCTCCCTCACTGAGGTGGCGGTAGGAAGTCAGGTGAGTCTCCAGTGTGCTGAAAGACTCCACAGGCTTGCACCAGCCCTTCCACTCGATCAGATGGGCCACCCGGCCCTGTGCCATGGCAGTGGGCTTGGTCACGTGCTCCTTCACCACCTGGGAGATACCTGTGGGTTTGGCCGGTACAGCACAACATGACCAAAGGGTGCCATTAGCAGAGTGGGCACAAAACAATTGGTATCTGCGGTGTTGTGAAAGTCAAAGACACTGTCAGAAAAAAATGTGTAACCTTTAAAGGTACAATTACTTGTCACTGGGGCCAAATGTACCCCAGTTGTAGGTAATTGTACCTTTTAGTCTAATTTAAGGTACATAAATAGACTGTGAGGAGCATGTTTGTACCATTGGGGGTACATTAATGCTGTTTTTATTTTCGGGAACAAAGCTGCACCAGGGCGGTACACATTTTTCTGCCAGTCGGCACTCGTGTGTGTACCGTAGAGCGACGACCAGGCCAGTGCTGCTATCTCGTGGATGGTCAGGGCTTTTCTGGGCTTTGGCAGCATTTCCACACCGTCCACAGCATTTACCTGCAAACAGCACAAGCATTCAGTTACTGGCGCGTCACCAAGGCCGACAGGCCGACCTCAGTAAGTCCACAAGTGAGACTCCCAATTCATATTAAGGCAGACAAGGTCATCCGTCTGTTCGACCCAGGCATTCCAGTCCAGATATGGGCTTTTGCATCATCCAGTAGCCGCGTGTGATGCTACAAATTCTGGGTAAAATATCATCTCCGCTGGCTTTGCTCCAGGGACCCTTGCTCACGGTTCCCCCTGCCAGAAAGTCTGCTGTCTGCTCACGTAGGAACACCTGCCGGGGAGGCAGGGGATGGTCCAGCCCCCTCAGCTGCACTCCAAAAATACAAAGCCGTTCTGATTCAGCATGACCCCTAAAAGCTGCTCATCCACCAGGCCTGTCAGCAGATCTGCTAACTCTCTACACAGTCTGCGGCAGAACTCCACAGGTGCAAAATGGGGCTCACTTTAAATCCAAAATAACATCCATACCAACCTGTCTCAGTACAACAGAGGATCATAGCAGCTTCTTAACACTTTTACACTCCCTCAGTTCAGACAATAGACAAGTTGACGGCAGGAAAAGCTTAACTGCAAAACTGAATGGAAAGAGGCAGACATGCCCCTGCCCATCCGACATCAACGCAAAATAACAAGACCTAGTTTTATTTATTATAGAAAAGCTGTAGCAAACTGGCCTCTTCCACAGCAACGCTGCTCAATCTGCCGGGGACAAGCCGACTCCAGAGGAACAAGCCGCCGCAGATCACCATCTCTTTAACCGACATACTGGGTTGCTGGCTGCGCCTGTTTCATTTTCTAGCCCCTGTGCCTGACTGTGCATCTACCAACTTTCCACTGGGAAAGGTGCGTTTCTATAGCAACTGGTCACCATGGAATTATTTCTCCTAGGCTACCCGGCGATATACGCAGATGATGTCGCGTGAAAGACTGGCCTCTCACCGTCGCTTACCGGTAACTCGTGCTCTCGTCTCGCCGTGGAAATCTGGGCTGAGGCACCTGTGCTGCTGTGGTGACGAACTCGCTAAATGCTAGGAAGCGGCAGCCAAGAACATCATCAGCAGATGTTAAAGTCGCTAAACCGCGCAGTGATTTGGCTGTAATGAGCTAAAGACCCTGCCAGCCGGTGAGCCTGTTTCACCATAGCGTTCAGTCATCACTACGCAGGCAGGAACAACCACATTCACCTGAGATGTTTCTCCAATTCACTTTTATTCTTTTGTGACTATGAATGTCAAGGTTTTAAATCCCTTATCCTTGAAATACAGGCACATTTTATTCAGGTTTCAGTCTGTGTTAATGACAGTCTGTGTCAATTCCCCCTCTTGTCTGGTAAGTGGCAAGGCACAGTTGTGCAGAATTTAGAGGTTTGTGGTTTTTCTGGCTCTGATCTGTAGATGTCAGTAATCATTTGTCTGCTGTCTCTACCTCTTAATAAGCTGATGGCTGACAGTGCATTTTAAAAGTGTTCGACCTTGTTCTACACCCCCGGGATCCCTGAAGGTGCCTATTAAATACACGAACCTTGAAATGAAGATCAAAATGTAGGATGTTAGGATTTTATTTGTAAAATAGTACCCAGGGGTCTTAGTAAATGTGCTCCATAGATTTTGATTGGACTATACATTCTCCAAATGTGTCATTGGAGAAGTTATTTGAGATTAAACTATTATTTTGTAGTATTAAGTAGTATTTTATATATTATATTCTTTTGTTTCTTTTGTTCCTCACAAATCGGGTCCAGGTGTTTCACGCAGGTTGGCAGGGGCCCTTATAGAGAGTGGTTCTGTTTCAGGATTTGTATTGGGAATCAGACTAGGCATTTGTAGCTGGGCTACAGTCCTGTGCCAATGTCAGTTACAGTAATGGTAATCAAAGCCTGTGTCCATTTCCAAGGTAAAGCTATAGTTTATTACCATTACCAGAGTAATCAGGCTTATTATGATCTGACCAGTGACTGGGTGAGTTTGATATGTACCTCAGAGAAGAGCAAACTCACTCACAGTGGTAAAATAGTACAACTGACAGACAGACTAGACCATGCATCTATGGTGTTATCTAAAAAGATGACCTTTTCTAGGTTATGTGAAAGTTAACGTTCAAGTAATGCAGACAATTCGGCAGATGCAGTCGTACAACCACCTCTTTGTGAAGTGTGGAAAAGCGAAGCATCGGTAAGTTTTTCTGGTTAAAAAGCTCCAAGCAGATACCCTTAGGGACCTGAAAACTGGGTCAAATTCATCTTCAAGTACTGCACGCCCTCTAGTGGCAAATGGATGAAAGGCATGTCGGCATGCGTCCCATGAATATGGGGGTCAGGTAGAGAATCCTTAGCTCCACGTCACACGCAACAGGCAGTCCGTTATGATGAGTGGAAATATGTCTGTATATAATGTCTTTTCTCACATTATGAGAGAAGGGGGAGCGTCATGCATAACTGTGAATTTGGGCTATTCTAGTCAGGATTGTGTGTCACATAGAAATGATCAAATTTGAGAGTCACTTAGCAATGCTACACAGCACTATGCTATACGGCCGCGGGGGTAACACTGCTGAACAATTAATCTACGTCATCACATAGGGTTAACCCATCTAATAGTGTTGTATTTCTGGCTGTAAGCAGTGTATATGTCAAGCATTTCATTATTTACTAAAGATTTCGGGGCTGACATGCCCTGTTGAGCTTGTCTATCTTGCTGTGTGTAACATCTGGTGCTCTTAAAAGGGCGACATTAAACATCCCAGTTTCGTGTGCAGGTTTTAAATCAGAATGGATTTAAAGATTAATACAATATAAATATATAGATAAAAAGTGCAAAAAAATCGTGAGCCCAGTGAATTTCTACCAAAGTAGTTGAGCATAAGCCTAATTGTTTGTACGTTCTGACATACATAAACCCAAAACCCCGCTATTTTATACTTCATCAGGTAGATCAACGCATATGTTTAATTTATCATTTTTGCTGCAAATAAAGCACAAGTAAGAATAAAATACATATCCCGTAATATTACTTAGAATCGCATTTTTCGAAATTTTGTTTGGACTCTAACCTTTACCTGTGGATCGTTGTTGTGATCATTTGTTCAATAGATTCCTGAATCTTGATGCACTTTATGTCCAGAAACAGGTGCATCACGGCATTGATTTTGTATTAATAGCGAAGGCAGAGGCGAAGACGCGACGCTGCGGAGCAACCCGCTGTTTACCAATAACACAGTGTGACTGGGGTCATTATTCTTTTAGCTATAATTTAATGCAGATATGCTCTTACAAGAATACCCATCTTACCATCAGCACTAAAACCTTAGTAGCATACAAAAATCATCCGTAAATGAAGGCAAAATTGAGCCACAGAAGTCTGTCTCCTGTCAAAGGCAAATTCGCGGCTGCACGTCAATAGACAAAGAGTCATTGGTCCGCCGTCGCACGAAACAGGTGCATTACGACATTGATTTATATTCGAACGCTTCAAATATACTCTTACCACACTATGATGATAATAAACGCACGCAGGAAATTAAAAGAAGACGTTTCCACGTTAATAATAACGAGCGCTGGCTTACCTTGGAATTAAAATCAGTCAACGCAGTCAACAGCATATTTGCTACGAAGACGGGTCCGGGTTGTATAGTGAATTTACCCTAACCCCCTTAGTCATACTCCAGGTGTCTTATAAGGCGATTTTATATTCCCTTGGTTTGCTGGTGCCCGACCTCCACCGATCTACAGACTCCCCGGTGGCAGTGTCACCAGTTTGAACACCCAGCTTAAAGTCAGACGTTTTTCTTAAAGCTACAGGAGATACCGGCGTGATATGCTCTTCTGCAGTCGGCCCTTGGTGTTCTGGCGCCCTAGGTGAGATGCTGCTGAGCGCCCCTCTCCAGAGTAGCAAAAAACAAATTTAGTCAATTCATTTGCATTAAAAACGTTGTACATGGTATCCTCAGATATCGCTCTGACTCGCAACTTGGCTCAGACTCAAGTCACAAATTTCATGACATGGATCTGGACTCTGCTTAACTGATGGAAAGACTTGGACCCGACTTGGACCCTATGACTTAGGTTAACTTGAGGTTATAGTTATCCCTCTGGCTACCATAACATTAATTTTATAATTTCAGTGCATATTAATTCGCTACTGTCTGCATTTTCATCTGGCTGAAATCAAGGTATCCTGAGATAGTTTGTTGGAAAGATGCATCACTCCCTGCATATACATGGATGTAAAATCTGTGTGAGGACAGGTGTGACAGAGTGGATACACTGTTCTCAACCTTCCTCTACCTATGAAGGACTTAACCTACAATGTAGTGTGGCGGGATTTTGCTGCAGCAAGTTTAACCAAAGAAACTGACATGGACTGGACTTGGACTTGAGGGCACGTGACTTGAGACTTGACTCGGACATACAATGTTGTGACTCGAGACTTGACTCAGACTCGCCAAGGATTGTTTGCTCCCATCCCTGTTAACTAGCTAGTTTGCATCTGTTTGACAAGAAAAGTAGTGAAATATTAAAACTTGTGTAAATAACTGCAATATCGCAGAAAGCAACCAGAGGTTTTTTTCTTTATTTTTTTCTCTTTTTTGCTCCCCCTAATGAAATGGCACCCTTGGCGATTGCCTAGATCTCCTATAGGGTGGCCGGCTCTGCTCTTCTGTACTCTCTGATCAAGTTAGATTCCCAAGGAGATCCGTTCGTTTATGCAGACTTGTCCAGTATATAAGCTGAAGCTTTTCATTATACGTAAACCATAACTCTTGGAGGAGTTTGTCCGTCTTGATGGTTGGACTCGTGAATTTGTTCTAGTTATCGGAGGGGGGGGCTGTTTTAATAAAGAGAAGTGCCTATCGACCTGCTTCCCTCTTTCAGCTGATGGACAGCACCCAACTGGTCTTTTGGTTCATATCTTCCTGGTAGGCCTATTGAAAAGCATGCTGGGAGTATAACAGTCAATGTTATTACGAGTATCTATTACTTGTGTTGAACACTTATTTTCTTACTTTGTTGTGATATTCTTGTATTTCAGGTGCTTTTAGCGATGCAGCACATGTAAACCCTTACCACCACTTCGGGAGGCAAATACTCTTAGGCAGTCAGGAAGGTTGGCGTCACGTTTTTTATCTGCTTTGGGGGCAGTACCAGTCCTAGCCAATGTGGCGAGCATCACTGCCGGCACCGGTTGTCTGAGGCAAATTGAAGTCGGCGCCCCCTATTGACCGACAGGAAAAAATCTTTTAGCCTGTGTTGCAGATTGAATTGACTGGCCCGGTCTGGTGGGATCTGTAGGAGAAGCAAAACACGACTTATTGAGATAGAGACAAATCCTTATACTTTATGAACAATTTATTAAAGAGTTTAAGCTGTAGATACTGGCCACAATTCCCCCCCACACACAGTAATTGAGTCCTAGACATCAGAAAATAACTCACATTGTACACAATAAATAAGTTGTTCGTCACTCTGTTACAACACACAGGTGTCGAGGCAGTATTTTTTTTAAACTGTCCTCCACCCCAATACTAGTTAACTAGTTACCTAGTTAAGGCTCCCATCCTGTGTATTCCCAACCCTGCTCTGCATTCCATTCTCCTGCTCTGTATTCCATTCTCCTGCCCTGCATTCCATTCTCCTGCTCTGTATTCCATTCTCCTGCTCTGTATTCCATTCTCCTGTGCTGCATTCCATTCTCCTGCTCTGTATTCCATTCTCCTGCTCTGCATTCCATTCTCCTGCTCTGCATTCCATTCTCCTGCCCTGCATTCCAGACTATGTGGTAGCCTACTTCAGCAGGACCCTGTGCTGTCAAGAGAACAACTACAGCGTGACACGTTGGGAGCTGCTAGCAGTGGTGCTGGCTCTGTGACTCTTCACACCTCCCTTCATTGACTATTCAATATTATAGGGAACCAGAAAGGCAGGTCGATCAATGGATTGAGGCTTTACACAAATTTCATTACCCTCTGCAGATGGAGCGTGCAGGCACTGTGCCCAGTTAGATGACAGAGTTCACCTCGGGGATAGATCAAGGCTCTGCATTCTACTCAATAAATGGAGGTTGTGACAAAGGAGGAGCTGAAGCAACTACAGGAAGAAGATGTTGACCTGGGTCCAGTGATCCATTGGAAGCAATGGGGTAGGTAGAGCTTGCTCTTTTGTGGCCAGCAGCAAAGGCATTGCTAAGGCAGTACAACTTCCTGATTCTCTGGAATGTTTGGAATCCCCGAGGAGCTCTACAATGACCAGGGGCACAGTTTTGAGGGTTAGATCTTCAGGAAAATCTGTAGGCAGCCGAGTAAAGCGACGAGGACACTACCACTATGCCCACAGTGTTGGGCTGGTGGAAAGATTTAATAGGACATTGGTGACCCCATCAGCATCCTAGAAGGAGACCATCAGCGGCACTGGGACAAACACTTACCCATTTTGTTTGCATATTGGACAAACGGTGCAAGTGACTATGGGCTATACCTCCACAGCTCTTATGTGGGGGAGAGAGCTTTGCATGACAGTAGGTTTGATTTTTGGATAGCCCTGGGCCACCAAGTCTCAAGTATGTCCGTCTCCTACAGGGCTGCCTCGACAGCATGGATGGACTGGGGCCTGAAAGAAGCAGGAATATGATGTGCATGGCAAGGGGCGAGAGATCCAAGGAGAGAGGACATGTGTGCTTAGCCCAAGGTGAAAAGGCGATGTTGCCCAAAACCTTATAATCCATGGGAAAGACTCTGTTTAGTACTCAGGAGGATCTCTGATGTTGTAGACAAGGTGTGGATGAAGACCCAGCTAGGATCAGTAGTGCTGGGGCCGTTTGGCACCATACCTGCATCCCAGTACTGGGAGCTCCACCACAGTGCTGACTAGCCAGTCACCATGGCACTGATGGATATCGGGGGGTCTATGCAGAGGTCCCATTGTGAAAGCCTTGTACACACCAAACACGGAAGTCTTGCTGGTGCAGTGCTGACCAGTCCAAAGAAGACATTCCCCACACCGGTTGGAGGGCTATAACTCGGGACTGGCAATGCGGCAAACTGGATGTTTGGCCTTTCAAACATCTAATCCAGCAGTGTGTGTGTGTGTGTGTATATATATATATATATATATATAAATATATATATATATGCGCATTTATGAATTTCTAAACTTTTTGTGTCATCTGCAGCTCTTGCACAACTCCCAAAAACTCCCCATTTAAGTTCTTATACCGACCCCGTGATGTAGTGAAACTGCGATGGGGACAATCGCGACATATAAGAGAATGTTACTGATAACATTCATTTGTGTCAAACCATATGCTGTACTCAGTACCATTTTCCTACAGAATTTTACGTAACTTCAGATTGTCGGGCATCTGTGTACTTGCCACCACTCTCTCAGCCATCATTAAGTGAAAGTGCATTTTAATAATAGCCCCTATAAGAAACAGGGACACAGACCGGTATGACCAGGGGAAGTTAATTATAATCAGTACTGCCTCCCCTGGCGTACTCTTCCCACATTCAGTCCAGGTCAGCAGTTCAGACAGTGAGGTTGTGCAGTGTCTTCTAAAAAAATCAGTATGAATTATCATCAGCATGCCACCCACCAGAGTGCTCTGTCGAGCTTTCCTTTATCTTCCCCACCTATCATAGTAGCAATCTACACCTGTTTTTCCATGGTTTCTAACTAAATCTGAATTTGTGTAAAGCCGTCAAGTAAATTAACATCGGAGGCTTTGCAGTACAAATGTCACAGGCTGATATAATCAAACGAGGCAATGGGAACGATACAGATGTGAATTTATTCAAATCCTTTTTAATACCGTTGCCAAAACAATATGAAGAACCACGAACACCAACGTGGCCATTCATGTTCACTTAAAATAATAATAATAAAAAAAAAAAAACCCACACACACATGCACATACGCACACACACACGCGCACACACACACAGAATGGTTCCTCTGCCCACAGGGCTTCCACAACCTCCCTAATGTACATGGGACTGCTGCATGTTCCAGTCCATCCGACCCTCCGCAGGAAGTGATGTCAGCTGCATCCCTGAACAGTGCTTGCTCTAACCTACTGCTTGGTCACGCTCCCCCTATGCGTCATAGTTGGGGTTTTTGCGCAGGATGACGAAGCCCTCCAGGATGGGTGTGACGGGCAGGTACTCCTCAGTGGCTAGCTCAGCCCGCTCGCCGTGGGCCAGCAGGACTGGCGTGGTGTGGGTCTGGAAGCCTGTGATGGCCTTGGGCTTCCCGGCCTGGCCCACCACGTCCACCGCCTAGGAACACGCATCGCTCATGAACACACAGTCACACCCATCGCGTCACCCCGCGCGGTCCACGGGAGCGGCATCCTCACCTGTCCCACGCGGACCGACACCGGCAGCGGGCGCAGCTCCTCGTCGAAGGTGACCAGCATGCGAGGCTGCATGGCTGCCACCAGACTGTACAGTACGTAGTGGGACTTCCCCAGGATCACTGCAAAAGGCCCCCAAAAGGCGGGTCAGTCAGCAGCCCCATCTGGGAGCTAATCGAGTCAATTCAAATCAAGTCAGGTCAAGTGGGGCTTTGTTACGCCATCTATATACAATCCACAGCATACAGTGGCGGGAAATAACGTTTCCTGGGACCACTGTGCAGTGTAGACATTGTATATAAGATAAGTGCAACTAATGAGGGAGAGGGTTAAAGGAGAACAATAGCTTATAAATAAAAATTGAGAATATACCAACAATAACACACAGGGGGATTAAGGGGTGCAAACATGTGTAGTTCAGAATCTCATGCCTAGTTCAGTCTAACTCGTATGCAGACCAGAAATAGGTCAAGCATTCAGATTAGAAGATGCTCACCATTCTTGACATCGAGGAAAGAGACGAGGACCGTGAGCAGGCCAGCCACCGCTACCTGACTCATGAGCTGCCGGTCACTGTGGTACGGACACAGGGTGAGTGTCCCTTTGCCCAGGTGCATCAAACCCTACAGGTGCGGCAAATGGTGCATGCAAGGGTGAACAGCGGCCCTCATCGCCCAGGCACACATGCTAGCGGGGCTTCCGTCCTTTTACCTGCGCCAACCTAACCATGAAGAGGTTGTTGGGGTCTTTGGCGTGGTACTGGGCCAGCTGTCGCAGCATAGCAGCAAGGCGGGCGTTGTTGGTCCCTGCCAGGAGGGGGCGCAAGAAGTGCGATCAGTGAGGAATTAGCTGTAAGCTGCCATGGAGCCTGTGGCTTCACAGACTGCGTCATCTCACCGCTGCCCACCACGCCCATGGCAAAGATGGAGTTGTAGGAGACCTCGGGGTCGGCATCATGGGAGAACTTGCTGAGCGTGTCCAAGATGTTCAGCCGGGGATTGGAGACGGAGATGAGGGCAAGGGCCAGAGGGACAGCACGCCGGAGGGCGGGTTCCCCGTAGCGTAGCTGAGGAGCACGGCAGTATGAGTACCTTAAAGAGTACGCACGACCACGTGTGACACAGAAACCCTGGTAGGGCTGCCTACCAGATGTCCGAAGGTCCGCAGGGCCATCTCCGAGCCGATTTCCTCTCCCATAGCAATGAGTGCGATTCCCAGCACTGCCACGCCCTGCAGGGGGCAGTACAGTACAGAAGCAGTGACAACCGGTTCATGTGTCAGTCTGCTTTGGGGATCTGGATCATATAGCAAACGTGTACCAAGCTGGCTCAGTACCTGGTGGGAGCCCATGTCGGCTGTGCTCTCCTTCTTCTCCTTGTCCTTCTTATCCTTCTTGTCCTTGTCCTCCTCTTTGTCCTTGGTGTCATAGTGCTCACTGCAGATATGAAGAAGCTGCTGTACCTTGAGCACATTGCCCGACCCTGAGGAAGAGCAGAGGTGGGTTGGCCGAATGAAGCTTCATGGACCGTCTGCTGCATTTTTGACCCCAATACATGGAGCTCTTGGCTTGCTGTGAGCCCTTTTTTGAACAGAAAGCGCCATCTAGCGGGGTCAGAAAATATAGCAAATGGTTCATGAAGCTTCACTTGGCCGTCAGTAGTTGGGACCATCTACTTCGAACAGCCCCCCCAAGTGGTTGCTGTCGTGACGGTTCTGACCTGCGTAGGCACAGATGTCCACCAGGGTGTTTGCAAAGCTGCGGAAGGGCTCAGATACCACCTGCAGAGCTGCCAGGGTAGTCTCAATGGCATCGCCCTTACCTGCAAGGTGACAGACCGATATTACTCTTTGGCACGCTAGTGAATCACTGCCCATTGGTGCACTACTTACCCAGGTGGTTGAGGCCCAGCCCAAGGGGCAACCAGCGAGCATATGTGTCCTTCAGCTCCTGCTCAGACTTCTCCATGATGGTCTGCATTATGGTCGAAGTCACGTCCCCATTGCAGGTGCCGACAGCGATCAGACCACACGCCAGTGCAGTCACTCCTACCACCTGCAGGGAAGCACTATCAACCGAGGATGGCCACTGGGTCGTCGGCGCAGACACAGGGGGTGCCAATGAGCAGCACCCAAACGCACACCCCTCACCTCCATGTTGGACTTGGAGTCGCCCATGACAGGCAACAGCAGAGACAGCACCTCCTCACGGCCAGATCCAGCATAGGCCAGGCCCAGCCTGAGGAAAGAACATCAGATCGCATAGCAAAGAGTCAACCCATCAGCCCAGGAGCATTAATCACTAACCCTCACCCTTCCAGTTACGGGCAGGTGCTTGCTGCCTTCAGACTCACCCAAAGATGGCCCCGATCCGCATGACGTTGCTGTTGTGCAGAACGTAGTCAGAGAGAAGAGCCAAGGCTGGGTCGCACTCATTCCTGACGCCCGAGTTCACAATGCCACAGGCCAAGAGGGCACCTGACTGTGTGCGAGTGCACAAGAGTGTGTACAATGGCAACTCACCCAAATAGGGGGGGAGAAAAGCGCTGTTGCGTTTAGCCTTACTTTGATGTAGTCCTCCGATGAATACAGGTACTTATCGATCTGCGTGAGACCACCGTCTACGTCCCACAGGAGAATCATTCCCAGGGAGGCAGCCGCACTCAGCATACCTGAGCACAAATCAAGCAAAATAGACAGGTGGACACTTTTAGGGCGCTTTTAAAATCTTTTAGTATATTCTAGCAAATACTTTTTCATTTCTTGTCATGCCATCCAGATCTTCCTCTGGTTCTTCTGACCAGATTGCAATTAAAGCTTGGGTCTCTCAATTTGTCCATGCATACATTATTAGCGGCAAGCTATTTGCATAACCAATCAACAAAGAAAATGTTTTAAGTCCCACCCCCAATTATCAGCTGGTTTTTACTTTTGGTACTGGTATTTGACCAGAAGTCAGTGGAAAAGGGAAAGTACAGAAAGTACTGCACCAAAAGTACGGGACCTGGTGCAAATGCGCGCGCACGCACACATACACACACACACGCACCATGGTCCTTGTTCTTGTAGAGCCACTTGTTCCCATCATCTGTGAGCAGCTTGTCCTGACCAAATGCCGCGTTCACAAAGCCATTGACGAAGGAGGAGGCCAGGTTCATCCGGGCGGAGTCCACCTGGGAGCCACTGCTTCCAAACCCTGAGAAGCAGGTGGATCATGGTCTGAGAAGTTCACAGGACCATATGCGTCACTCTCCGTTTTGTACTTACTGTTGTTTTCTAAATGTGTTTTGTAGATGTCATCAGGTACTTTGGGTTCCATGATGTCCAACTAAGGAAGAAAGCAAGAGAGAGATAAGTGGATCAGTTTCAGCCATTCAACCCAACATGAGGGTGAACAAAAGCCCACATCACTGCAAGACCTCCCACCTCTCTGCCCAGAGCCAGAAAGTTGCTGTTGAGCTGAACGTTGGACATGATCTCCGTCAAGTCCTCATAGTCGTCCACGTCCTCGCTGAGCTCCAGAAACAGCCCGTGTCGTCCAAGCATGTAAGCCATCTGCTTCTGGATCACGCTACGGGAAAGCCGATCGCCCAATCACACAGGAGAGTCTTCGCAGACAAGTACACACATACATTCCTACGGCTGCGCATCTGCAAACGCAACAGCTCCCTCACATGTCCTTGCAGGAGATGAAGATGTCCTCCACCAGCTCCACATTGTTCAGCATCAGGGCCAGGCGCAGAGCTTCGGGGTAGCGGCCAAACTTGCGGAAGATCTTCAAGGCGCATTTGAGCAGTGCAGAGTTCTCTGGTTCGGGGACGTAACTCACGCAGCTGCAGGGTTACAGTGACAGTCAGGTGACAAAGGACCGGGGAAACTCCAACCCTGAGCCCACCAGCAGCATAGAAATGCCCATGGATGACGCACGGCAATACTACCTGGTCAGGTAGAGGCAGACCTTGGCATACGCATTCTCGTCGATGTACTGCTCCAGCATATCCAAGCGCTCAATCTCCATCAGGAGGTCACAGGCCTCATGCTCGGCATTGTGGGCCATGTTATAGGGCACTATCTCCTTCACCAGCTTCAGCAGCGCCTCCTGCTGGGCCGTGTCACTCTCCTCCACCTCCTGCCACTCCTTGGCCACCTCCCCAGCCAGGTGCCTGACATAGAAAACCAACACAAGACCAGAGACTGACTCTCCACACTGCATCGTCACTCAGATGATCCTTATTCCATAAAATTGATAAAAAAGAACAGACATTCCCCAGATGACCAGCAGCTACATTAATGGTGCCCCACGATGCTCAATGACGTACCTGACGTATTCATGACCCCAGGATGCCAACTCCTCCTGCGAGCCCAAAAGGCGAAACTTCAAACACTCACGGTCCCCACTCATCGTCATGGCGAGGACCGACACCACGTCTGCACAGAACCGCTGGGGATGGGGGGTAGAGTTAAGCACAAGACTGAGATCAGGGCTCCACTGTCGCCCTCAAATGGCCATTTTATTGTCACTTAGTTATAGCACCAGCTCAATATAACAAACTAAAACCATTAAGGATTTTAATCAACATCTCTCATTAAGTGACCACCCAAAACTAATCACCCTGGGACAATAATCTAGCTACACTGGGAATTCAGCAGACCTTGTTTTCTCCATCCTCCATGCCCTGGTAGATCTCCTTCAGCTTTCCGTAGTGTGGTCGCAGGAACTTGAGTGGCTTGGGAACCGATGTCATAGAGGTGGTGGAGGACCGGATGTGCCGGCGCAGCTCCTCCAGGGCGGGATGGTACAGGGAAGCGTCCTTCTCCTGGAGCCAGGCAGAGAGAAATGCGATCTACAAGTCCCTAAGTTTACCATTAACCGGCCGTTACCAAGCTCACGGTCCAGATAGTACTCACACTCAGCCGCTCCACCATCATCTCCAGCTCCTCCTGAAGCTGTTTGTCCTCTTCAGACTGAGAAAAGCAGAAAAACCCACGTAAAAGTAAAGATTCGAGTGAGCTGCCTATTATTTAACATTAAACCGATGACAGGACTCCGGCAGATACTGACATGTTTACAAACAAAGCAGGACAGCTAAGCCGACTGAATTAAAATCGATCGTAAACACACACCCAGGTAACGCACGCACACGCGCGCACACACACACACACACACACACACACACACACACACACAGTCAAAGGAACAACATGATAAAGAAAAATACTCTCATCAAGGATCACAGTGACGGAAGACACGAATCACGTCTCTATATGAGCAAGCGGCCGCTCTGATTTTCAAGAACGTTATAACCTAATCGCAGAGGACAAGCTGCGTTGTAAAAGCTTTACTTTGAATAGCGAGGCGTTTTCCTGATTTTTCCATTTTAAATACAGCCTCCCTGGCCTGCGCAGCCCAATGACTCAGACATTATTCCTCTGCCTCTCCATCTGCATTTCCACACACCCTGGACACGTTAGCATATATTACCAATTCCTGCTCATCCTTCTTTTCCTTTTCCTTCTCCTTGGTGGGCGAATGCTTCTCCTTGTCTTCAGTACTCTCAGGTAGCTTTTTATCTTTCTTTCCTTCCTCCATAGCCGCTAATCGTGCCGCTGCCCAACTCTGAATAAAAAACGTTGCGCAGGCGCAGCTGTAGTACGGTGAGCAATGGCGACCAAACTTCGCACGGACCGGCGAACGACAAACGCAGGTATGAGATTCCCGGCTGAAGGATCCGAATTTTATTGTATCACACACACACAGAGTTTATTTGTTTGACTAATTAAGTTTCTACAAATTAAGGATGTAGTATTTAAATGGCATGAATTTATATACTAAGTAATCCAAGTAGTGTAAAATTGTGAAACAGTTGCCAGACATCCCACCACTTGGGCATATTGATTTCAGCGAGTACCCCGCGCGTTGGGGAAATTTAATTGGAAATACCTAAATAACGGATTTTTGAAATACCGTCAAAATATCGTATGCTGCAGTGTAATGTCTGGGTCTCTTGTGTTAAAAATTGGGTAGAACTTTTACCGCCGCTAATTTACCGCCAGCAAATTGTAACAGCGAACCAAAAGAATTTACCACTCGGCCAGTTAGTAGCTAGCATTCGTTAACAGTATCTACTATCTAGCACTCATTGAAGAAACATGGACAGAAAAAGAAAACCTGCGGCCTGCGGTGTAGAAAAGGTGCACCAAAAAAACCGAAAAGGCTTTGCTGGTTGACGTGGCAAAGTGTGCTAAGATAAGGAATTTATTTATTCAGTCTGCAGGTCCATGAAGACAGTGTTGAAGAGGTGAAAACATCAAAGATGAGTGAGCAGGTAACAGCTTTGTCAGGCTTACTTGCTATGTGCTGTGAACTGGAACTAATGAACTAAATAAAGGAAATGTTTTTGTTAACCTTGGGGTCTCAGTGATAGTCCTACCACAGTTTTGACCATTTCCAAGGTTTAACTAGTCAGACTCAGTGCACAAAAGTTTAAAGTTCACAGAATGTTTAAAAAAAGGTAATCAATTTTGACTGTTAAAGGGTAAAATAAACATGTAAATTTGATAATTTTCTTCTAGATTAAACCTTCCTTGGAAAAACCAAGGAAAACCTTGGAAGATTGGTTTTGTTGTTTTACATATTAGCCTATCACAAACAATGGAAATTAACCCATTGTGTGTGTTTTTTTTTTTAAATTGATGATTCATTGATGGACAAATATGTTGTGTCAGTTTGAATTTGGTGTATGAAATTGGGGTCGCTTGACAGTAGATTCCCAGGCTGCTCTTTGTTGTCAGTCCAACCCAGCTTCTGAGAAAGGTGAGATGTCTGAGTTGCTGTGATTTGAGGATTATAAGGCTTCATTAGTTGTTTGCAGAAAGCATACTACAATGTGAGATGGAAGGCACGACCTTTAAAAAAAAAAAAAAAAACTCTTTTAATGTAGTTTCACTATAGGTAATGTAGTGCAGATTCAGTACACTATTAGCAAGAAAACTCACTGCACCTAAAGCCCTTTATTAGTCAAATCAATAGTGCTGATGGTGAAACTGACCACAAACTTAAGGAAAAGCTGGCGGTTCACAGGGAGAGTTTGGGAACCCCAGGGGGACAAGGCATAAACACACACACACACTGGATATATCACTCAGATAGTTTAATGTACACTTTTATTGCCAATTGCACTTTCTCAGTTATGGTCTTCTGTGAAGACCTTGACTGCCTAAGGTCCAGGTGTGTCCATAGGTCCCTATTGTATGACTTCTGATAATAATTGATACTTTATTCATCCCTGTGGGGAAATTCACTTTTCACTGACCCCGTCCTGCTCTCTCTGAGTGTGAAGGACAGCGACCTGCCGCAGTGTCTAGGGAACTTGCTCGAGGACCCACAGATGTGCAGAGGCCGGGCCTGAACTGACGACCAGGTGATCACACGGACATAGGCTTAGCCCACTGAACTACATGGAACAGGAAGGTCTGCTCCATTTCTGAGGGGAAAGGAAAATGTATATATCTGGGTGACAAGCGGATTATGCCGTCCCATATGGCTGGCATGGCGCGACTTGGTGTAGACTGAGAAATACCCGATCGGTCCACAAGTTCTCTGCACCTGTGGCCAAGAAGTTCTGTGGTGTACAGAACTTGTAAAGGAACAGGTATGGTGTAATTCCTCATTGTCTGCCTTTGTAATGCTGGCCCTAGTTCAGCACACAGTTCCAAAAGGATTGCTCTGGGAAATCTGAATCATCATCATGGGCCAAGAAATCACTATGATCCCTGAATACGCCCTCCCTTCTAATTCTTCCATAAGCTATGTCTTCCAGTAACGCAAGAGCTGCCATGGTAGTTGTAATAGTTTGGTCATTTTCTGCACTGCTTTATTGTTACAAATTGATTCAAATCGGGTGCCGTACATTTGTAAACAACATACAATTAATGTCGTGTATTGGTTAAAGGTGATTTAAGTCATGATTGTGAGTATAAAAAGGGAAACCACAGTATCAATGATTTGCCACTGGGTGCCGTCTGGTTACAAAACCGAGACGTACGCCACGTCTGGAGCTGCATGAGAATGTGCGTAGCGGTACGCCAAGTTTCGTTTTTATACATCTGGACGTGAGCGTGGAAACGGACGTACGTAACATTTTTGTGCGTACGCACCATTTATACATGAGGCCCCAGCTTGTAAATGTATCCCCCATCCACTGTGGAATCTGCCTGGCCCTCCTGAAATTAACAGCCTTGACATGGCTTCAGCTCCATCGCGGTACCTGCATAAGCACCGTACCAAAGGGTTTTGTGACAGATGAGTTGTCAGGTTGTTCGCAGTGATGGCTCTGATGCACCAATTACTTCTTCAATTTTGGCTGCCTGGTCATCACACTTCTTTCTTCTGCTCAGATATTAGGCATGGTCTCACTCCTGGTGGTTTGAATATTAAGGCAGGAGAAATTCCCACTAGGAATGCAGCAGGGATGCTGGTTAACAACCATCCCCATATGATCCTTATGGAGCAAGTTTTCAAATTGGGTTTGATACATTACCATGGCGAGGAGAACCTTCATGCCAGATGATGGAGGAGAGAGATTCCCTGCAGTCACCAACCAGACAGAGTCATAGTAAGCAGTCTCTTTTATAGATAACCCTCTGGCTGAGCTTGCAGCAAGCATGCTTTGTTTGTATATGATTTGCAAACATCTTGCACAAATTGTGGACATGGACAGTGCCCCACTTAAACACAACAGGCAAACATATACAGCAATACCAGGATTGAAGTGGAGGGATAATGGGCATCAACAGGACTTAATTTAAACTTGGCCAGTGCTTCACCTCCACAGTAGATTTTACAGGCTAAAATCTATCATTTTACATGATAAATCACATCAGATGTGATTAAGTTCACATCTCTGCTTACATCACTGAACGTTCCCTGGGCTGCTGGTTTTCCCAGGATTCTTTGCACCGATTGATCGTCCAGTGACCCTGTTTGCACAGTCAATATTACACAACGTGCAAGTCAACGAACAGGCAGTCAGAGGCACCTTGAAGCAGATGTGCTCTGATCCCGGTCAGGACAGAAAAACAGACCAATTAATGTTGTCACACCAGTCAGGCTGAAGGAAACATTTCTATAAATTGACCTGATGTCATTTCTAAAGACTCAGAAGACAAGATCAACAAGCAAGGGACACATCACAGTAACTCAGCCTCTCCATCACCATCATCTCCAGCTTCTCCTGAAGCTGCATCTCTAGCTTCTCCTGAAGCTGCTTGTCCTCCTCAGATTGAGACAAGGGGAAAAACCCATGTAAAAGTCAAGCAAATCCAAGCGAGCTATTTAACATCAAACCAATGACAGGTCTTCCACAGACACGTTTACAAACACACCAGGACAGCTTAGCCATCCACTAATTAACGATTTAGAGCTAAAAAAGAGCACATAAAGACTTTGTGTGCTAAGTAAGCCCATTAATGTAAAATGAATGTTCTGTGGTGAGTGCATGGGCCATTTTGATAAAGAGGACGACAGTTCTTAAAAACTGACTTCCACCTTTAATAACGGCCCATTGTCAATGTTAACTAGCAGCGGCACAGACAAGGAAGTGGACAATTTACATGATGCTCACACTCAAGGTTAGACGCTAACAGAAACAACACGCATTGCACAGAGACCACACTTACTATGTACAATGAAATGCAGAAATACACTCATCAAATTACAAGATTCACACACCAGTAGCCTTGAATCATTAGTCTTTGCTGACTGTCCCCGTGGTGTCACAGTACTGTGAAGTAGAAATGTCAGACGGTAGCTGGAAATTGGAGGTTCTGAGGATACATTAACTGTTCGCAGAAACCATATACAATGTGGGATAAGAAAAAGTGTAAACTTTGAAATATTTAAGTTTAACCCCCGGTGAACTGGGCATGAACACCCACAAATACAGACAGAACATATCAGATTCCATACTCTTAAAAGTACACTTTATTGCAGCTTGAACTTTCTCAATTATGGTCTTCTGTGAAGGACTCTGCTGACCAACATCAAGGTGTGACTGTAGGTCTCTCTTCTATGACTTCTGTTGGCATGGATGAAACGTGCAGGACTGCTCCAGCTCTGAGGGGTCAGAGAAGAACGGCAGCACGCTGTCAACATCACAGACCTGCAGGATGAGCTGGATGCTGGCATTCAGAACCTGGGCACTTCCAGGACACTTCATTCCCCAAAGGGAAAATATGGGAGCGACACCAAATACAGTCCAGGACACCAAATACAGTTCAAATGGAATGCACATGCAAGCCAAATGATGGTGCTTTGGGAGACCCACCTGGCACACTGCTAGCACATTCCCGCAATGTCTCGACAGTAGACACATATTCCTTCCCCAGAAAGTCTTCAAAGCTGTTCAGAGATGGAATCTCCTGGAGGCATTTGGTGGAGTCTCTGAAAAGGAGGTCTTTGCCGCCTCTTGACTGGAACATTTTAAAGTATTCTGAGCTGGACAAACCAAACCTGTTCTGTTGCATGATAGGAAATGAGGACATCCATGAATGAAAAGCCACGGTTGGTAAAAGACAAGCAGGCATTTCAAAGCAGCAATCATGGGTGCAGAAGTATCTGACTACAGGACAAAAAAGAATCTATTGCTGGTCATGAGTGGTGAGTGTCTATTTTGAATTCAGCTCTGATCAGAAACAGAACTTGGGGTATCATACATGAATGTTTTTCATCAGTTCAACATCCTCAGCAGCAGAAACGACAAACATCCCTAACATCCCTGAGGCCACACCCACCTGCTGGTCTTTGAGAATAGACACCACATCCAGCCGGCTTTCAGGGCGCGTCACCACAGCATAAGCAGGCACCCTGGCTAGATGGCAGCTCTCATGTTGGCTAAGAGGCGCCGTCTCTGTTGGACCAGAGGGGCACAGAAGCTCATAGTCTTCAGACCTCACATCTTTAGCCCATGGATCACCATTTCCTGGAAGACAGGATACAGAGAATGTGGACTTAGATATTTTTACACATTGCTGTTGTGCAAGCTATTACCAGTAAAGAGCATCACACGTGAACATGCTTGCGGCATTTGATAAAAGCGTGACACTCTCACCATCGCTGTTCTCCTGAACAGTAGTATGCTTAATAAAAGCAACATCTCCACCACCTTCCACCAGACACCTGCAGGGAGAGGGCAGGTCAGTCCAGAGTCTCTATAGCTTCGAGTGTTGCCACAAACATAGGAAATTTGACACTCGTACCTGAAGGCCCCAGTGTAGCCGTAAAACAGCTCCTCAGAAACAGGCTTGCATTTGTACCTTGAATCGTGTAATGGTTTGCCATCACCCACACAGAGAGCACATAGTGAGGATTCTGGCTCTGCCCCCGGGGCACAGCTGTGGCTGAAGTACTTGGCTGAAAATAGGAGGATAGGCAGGATGCTATAGCTAATCAATTAGGCCAGCCTGAGAGATGCAATGTAAAATAACCCAATGAACTACAAGAAGTCACTTGAATGGCACATTCACACTCACACACAAACACACACACGCCGGCGAGCTGCAGCCTCACAGAAGTCACACTCCTTGCTGTCCTTGTGGAGGAGACCCATAGGGATGTTCCATCCTGCTGTGTGACTAAGGCCTGTGTGGCACGACTTCTTCCCCCTCAGTGTGCTCCAGGTGAGGCCCGAGCCTTTCTTCACCACAGCCACCGCAAAGTAAGACGAGGCCGTCTCTGTAAGGAGAGACCTGCACCTCAGCACTGCTGCCCTCTAGTGGCACTGCAAGGCAATGAAATTGTACTTACGCTCTGAGGAGCCACACTTAGCTGTGACGGAAGCAGAATACAGGCATTTCAGTCAGTACACAGCACCACAGTGACCAGCAGACAGCCTACAGCCCCCCCACATACCTGCGTCATACTGCTCTGCCATCACTGGCACCAACCCACACTTCCCTGCTGAATACACCTGCCCGCCATCGATCGCCATGGCATCTGCCTCTTCGCGCTGAAAGGAGAACAAAGAATGTGCCTGCTTAGTACAGGGGACTGGGGGCTCTGGAAGCAGACAGTACAGTATTCAGCCTAGACTGAGAGACTCCATGATAAGCGCCTCTTATGCCCCTCCTACCAACCCTGCCCAGACCTCCCCCCCCCCCTTAATCCCATCTATTAACCCCATCGTAACCCCTCCCCACTTTACATACCATAATCTTTTTTAGGCAGTCTTCCACAGACCTCCCCTGCTGACACTCAATCTTGGCATCAACATCTTGCGAGTTCCACTGGTCACACTTGACCGTCTCGGCGTGGCCCACGGCGCACCACCTTATGGAGTTGGTCTTCACCTCTGGGGTTGTCTCTGAGGTGGGCAGTACAACAGAGCTGTGACTCACCATTGCTAAATGGGGGAGTGTGTGTCAGTTTACTGGGTCACTCACCTTTCTTCAGAGACCGAATGGTACTCATGTATTCTGCACCCAGGTAGAGGAAGGAATCGGTGATATTAGGCACCCGAACAAGCTGAACGGTGGAGTCCTTAAACATAAGATCTTTGCCTTCATAGGCTTCAGATGAGAAGAGTTTGAAATCCTGTGGAGGATTGACCATGAAATCAGCCACATTGAGCCTGGCGTTTAGGTAAAAATGGATCTGCCCACAGAATCAGTGTAGCGTCTGCCAGTTGTTCTCAGTTTACCCCAGTGTGTTGCAGACTCTCCCAGATGTTATCTGCTAATTCAACATCCTTGCGGCTAACAACGGCATGGGCAGGAACTCTGCTCAAATGGCAAGTTTTGTAGTCATCAATGCTCTTCCTGGAACCGTCTTCGCACAGTAGCTCGTAGTCCGCCTTCTCTGAGGCTGGACACAGGAAACGGAAGGTCAGAAATACCAGAGGGACCACAGCACTCACAATGACCAAGGTGGTGCATCTCGACTCTCTGCTTACAGGGTACAGTCAGATGCTTCACAAAGGCAACTTCGCCAGCATCATCCTTCAAGCACCTGGATAGAGTCAAGAGCACAGGGTCAGAGACAAACAATGCAGGGCTAAAGAGTGTAGAGTGATGGAAGGGACAGATGTGAGCTGATCAGATTGTACTGCAGTACCCACTGGAAGGCTCCAGAATAATCGTAATACGGCTCTTTGTGGGATCGGGAGCAGTCACCCTTGCACAGCTGGCACAGATTGGAACCAGGCGTAGCACCAGGAACACAGCTGGCGGAGAAGAACTCTGAAACCACTGAGGATGGGAAAACATGTTAGGGGACTGCAGATTCAGTAATCCCATTTCTGCCGGCCCACTATACAAAGGGGCAGCTCACCCTTCTCAAGAGGGACATCCTCCTGCCCTTTCCAGTCAATGTCACCACTGGACACCAATGTTCCAATGGGGATGTTCCACCCTGCAGACTTGTTCAGACCTGTGTGGCATGTCTTCTTCCCCTTCAGCTCATGTAACCCAAAGCTGCTGGTTTTCTTCACCACAGCAACAGCATAATAACAGGTTTCTGCATCTGCAGGGTCCAAACAGGGTGACTTTGCCAAGTGCTTTTTGCTTCAGAATGATTTAGTCACAAAAAACAATATTCATTATCATTTATTTCAAATTGCTCATATTTCAAAAAATACACTGCCGATATTTTTAAGTATTCCTTGATTACCTTTTCTGTAGTCTTCTGCGATGATAGGTTTGAGGTTGTAATTTACAAGACCAGCTTTGTAAATGTCTCCCCCATCCAGTGTGATGGCATCTGCCTGGCCTTCCTGAAATCGACATCCATATCATGGCCTCAGCTCAGCCGCGGTACCTGCATAAGTGCCACGACAAGGGCTGCTGTGACGGACGTGTTGTCAGGTTGCTCACCCTGATGGCTCTGATGCACTCATCTGTTCCTGAGCGCAAAATGCAAGCAAATGCAGCTTCTGCTTTGGCTACAAAGTCATCACACTTCTTCTTCTCCTGCTCTGATTTAAGGCACCATCTCACTTTTGTTGATTTGGGGAAAATGGCGGCAGAAATTCCACCTAAAAAGGTAGCAGGGATTCTGTTCACCAGCTATTCTCATGTGACTCTCATGGTGCAGGTGGGAAAACTGGGCTTGATACATTACCAAGGCATCCTAAGAGAATGGAAATGAGCAGAACTTTCATGTCGGAGGGTGGAGGACTCCCTGCAGTCACTGAGCAGACAGAGCCACAGTGAGCAGCCTCTTTTATAGATGACTGAGTTTACAACGAACATGCTTTGTTTGCGCGTGATTTCCCAACAGCTGGCATTCAGAGTGGACATGGATAGTGCACTGCTTAACTCCAGGAGACCTTTAGAGTGGAGGTCACAGTTACAGATAGGGAGAGCTGGATTTGATAAGAACCCTATTTCTTCATCTGGGAAATTCACAACACGGGGTTGCTTTGAGTTCACAGTCATTATTTACAAAAAAATCCTCATTATCCTTTTTCAAAGGCTGAAAGTGGTCAATCTGGCCCAATAAACATGTCTCAGTGTGGCTGTCATTTAGTCTTTGTTATTATGGTCACCTTTTGAAAACCAAACTATGCATAGGCCAGCAGCATATTAACAAATCGTGTACTGCAAATAATTTAACATTCACCATAATTTCAGCTGTATTCTGAAATGTATGGAGTGGTATCAAAGTGGCAGGTGTTGGCCAGTCTTAGTGTTCCAGACAGACATGATGTGGTGATTAACTTGTAACAATCATCACATTGTGGATTAAACAGCAAAACCTTTGCAGGTATTACCTTAAATATGAGCCCAAGTAGCTGTATAAAATGTGCGTGCAACAACATTTCTTGAACTAATCACTGTTCCAGTTTGCTTAATTTCTTTTATAAGATATCTGTTAGGATCACTGAGTGGAGATGTGACGTGGTCCATGTTGTTTCACAATAAAATCACATGTGGTTGAAGTTTCTCTACAGGCAAACACATATGGTATGGTAACCGAGGATTGGATGTGCCTGCGCAGCTCTTCCAGGGCAGGCCGATAGAGAGATGCATCCTTCTCCTGAAGCCAGCCAGAGAGGAAAGGTCTGGTCAGGTTGGGGAGCATCCACTGGTACAGCAGGTTGCTGCGCCCACCACACGATAAAACAACTCGGGATCATTGTTTGTGACTTCCCAGGGCAGCAAGTGGTTTAGTTCCACCTTCTGGCAATGCCCATGTATCTGCCGCAGCCAGGTGTTACCTGTGTGGGTGTCCCCTTGACCTGGTACAGTAAAGGTCTTGATCTTGGTTTTGACCCATGCCACACACAAAACCAGAAACTCAGACTCCTCATTCACTCTCTCAAAAGCCCCTAACAGAACCTCCATTGGCTACAAGAAGATCACAGCGTCGTCAGCAAAGTCAAGATCAGTAAGTCTTTTCTCACCAACAGATGCCCCACAACCACTGGACCCCACAATCCTGCCCAACACCCAGTCCATGCAAGCATTGAACAGAGTAGGAGCAAGAACACACCGCTGATGAACCCCAGAAACAACTGGGAAGAAGGCAGAGATTCTGCCTCCACTCTGCACAATGCTCACAGTAGTGGAGTACAGGCTGGCCATGATATGCAGCAAGTTTGGGGGATCCTGCAAAGTCTCATGATGTCCGTTAGGGCAGCTCAATCAACAGAATTGAGGTGCTAAGGAACCCTGCTGATATTTGCGTTTGCGCTCAATGAGAACCTTCAGTGCCAGGATGCGGTCGATGGTAAGACTTCTTAGGCATAAAACCAGACTCCTCTGGTCACTGGTATGTGAGCTCGTGATCATGGGTTTTGTTGAAGATGACCCTAGCAAAGACTTTTCCCGACACTGAGAGTGTTGTTATCCCCCTGTAGTTGCCACATTTCACCTAATCACACTTTCCTTTCCAGATTAGTACATTGTTGGGATGTTCCAGTCTCCCAAATGGAAGCAAAACCATCTACGCTTATTTACTGTTCACACGGTGTTCACCATGATTTAATATGTGCAATTTCTGCCAGCAAGTCTGTGAGAATTGCCATCTTGTCATCAAACGCTAGTTTACTCGGTGAACTTGGCGTTCAAATTCTCCTCCGTGTTGCTTCCATGTCACAGACTGGACGGGGTGGAGTCACATGAGAACACACGCGGCGGTATGTGTTTAAGGGGATAGCATGTGGAAACATGCTGGGCAAAGTAATAACAGATTTAAATTATTAACTTTAAATTATTGCTTCAGAGGACATAGTTAAAAAATCACTCTGCTATTTAACAGAGTCTTTTAGGTACATAGGGGAATGTCTCTCTATGGTCGACCTCCTCAGAGAAGGTACAGGAGGCATGGCAGGAACAACTGAAGTCTCCTTGTCTGAAAAAGTCCCCTGATCAGTAGTCACTTTAGCAGTAGGTTCCTGGACATCCAGAGAAATGATTGGCAAGTCACCTACAACTTCCAGAACCTCACTCCTCACCTGCTCAAAAAATGGTGTCCAGTTCTGGAGCGTCAGCAAAGTCCACACATCGGGCCATGTTCTGATCAATGTGACATTTTAAGGTTTGCCCAAATTTCTGTATGCTAAATATTACAGCCAGACCCTCCTTATCTAACTAGGAGTAATGTTTCTCGGCAGGTGTGAGAGTTACATGATACAAACCTGATGGGGTTTTCACTGCCATCTTCAATGCGATGGGACAATACCACACCTAGTCCATAGGGTGAGGCATCACATGAAAGCATGAGTTCTTTATCTATGGAACAGTGCACCAACACCTTTGCCTAATTGCATCAGTGCCTTGGAGATCTGGAATGCATCTTCTTGTACCTTCTTGCAATCCCATTGTCCATCCTTCCTTAAAAGCTTATGCAGTGGAGCCAGCTACAGTCATATTTAAAAAATAGGACACCCCATTAAGTATTTAGTTCTTTATTAAGAAATATCAACATATCAGTATTAAATCATCTTTCAAATTATATCTGTAGATAAAGGTAATGTAATTGCATCATCTATGCAAAGACAAGAAACAAATTCCCTTATTTACAAAAAAAATGAACTAACATGCTAAAGAGACTGCACAAGTGTGATTTACATGGGAGCTGTGCAAGGAGGAAATCTTTGCTGTCAAAAAATCATCTGAGAGCTGGATGACTTGGGTTAGCTTTTAGCCTAGCATGGATACCTGCACACTTGCTGCACTGCAGAAATGAGTTTCCTTTGGAGACTGTCTGGGCTCAGCCTTAGAGAAAGGGTAAGGAGCTTGGGGAGGACCTCAGTGTAGAACCATTGCTCCTCCACATCGAATGGAGCCAGATGAGGTGCTTAGGGCATCTATATAGAATGCCTCCCTGTGGAGGTGCTTAGGGCATGTCCTATTGGGACAAAACCCAGGATTTTATCTTTTTGCTGGGCTGGGAATGCCTTGGTATTATCCCCAGGAGAAGGAGGTCTGGGCATCCTTCCTCAGACTGCTGCCCCTGTTACCCAGACAAATGACAGAAGATGGATGGATGGATGGATGGATGGATGGAAAGAGTGTCATGTTCTGCTCCAAAGACCACTCACAACAGCTGCAAATGAAACATCCTTGTTGCCAGTTTTGTAATATTTTCTATGGGTCTTACAATTTAAGCAAGGGGAAACTACATTTTTACCTTTAGCAGATTTATTTCAGTACAACAATATAAAATGTTAGTGAGTCGCCGAACCCACAACTTCCATAACGGAACTCGGGTAGACACGTGACGGAAGAACCAGTTAATATCACACAAGTAAGTCAGGTCTATTACAATGGTCCATTAAATTAACAATCAACCTCACATGGACCATCACATCTCAGAACTCTTTCTGATTTCTCTGTACGAAATCTGGCTGGAGGAAGAATCCTGTAGTGAATCCCATCACAGCCACAGTCTTTTTAACCTCTGACGCTGAACTGACACAAGCCGCACTGGGAGGGTAATCAGAGAATATGCAGCTTGCGGCTGCCTGTACAGCAGTGTTTTTCAAACCGGTCTTTGGTGACCGCCAGACAGTCTATGTTTTTGCTCGGCTGGGAAGGAGCAAAAATGTGGACTGTCTGGCAGGGAGCTGAGAGACAGCAAAGACTGTCTGGGGCTTCCTGTGGCCTGGATTCCCTGGCTTTTCAGAAGACACCCATGCAATCTTGATAGTAGTGTTATTTAGCCACAATAACATTGAGCTGGCCTGCAGATTGGTCCATAATGTAGCTTAGAGTCCACAATGCTATCTGTTAGTCAGTACCTCTTTATCCATGTAACATATTTCTTTTAGCACCATAGAAACGGAATATTAAGAACTTGAGTCTTGGCCTTCTGACACAATAAACATGCAGATGTTTGATCTCATTCTTCCTTCTAGATACAAGCACTTATCTTGCAAGCCCCCCACTCTGTTTCAAGCTGACATACCGTGGTTCATAAGAGAAATATCTTCTGAACTGTATCTAAAACAAACTCTTTCCAAATTACTTCAGAGCAGAACAATTTGAAGTTCGATTTTAATACCACCAAATTTTCCTGTGAGTGTCGACTGAATTTCTACCTTCAGCTATCCATCTAAAGCAGTGTTTCCCAACCCAGTCCTCGGGGAACCCCAGACAGTCCACGTTTTTGCTCCCTCCCAGCCAATCAGGAACACCGAATAGCTGGTACAGGTGCGATGGGAGCTGAGAGGAAGCAAAAACGTGGACTGGCTGGGGTTCCCTGAGGACTGGGTTGGGAAACACTGATCTAAAGGGATGGAAGGACCTCTGCTGTTACAGTCACTATGTTCACCTTCTCATTCAGCGGTTCATGGCCTCTGCTGTCAGACATAGATCTGCTAGCAATGTTTATCCTCGTGTCAGTGAACGACCGCAGGCTCTTGGCCATTTACACAACAATTCCACAAAATAAACCGATGGTCAGTAAGTTAAATTATATATTTTGTAATATTTCCAAGGACAAAAATCATTGAAAAAATATATTTTCTTCAAATTTCCGCAGAGTACACTGAAACACAACCTACTCTATTGATTGCATGTTAGCACCCTCAACTTTGAAATATTTAAGTTTTAATGTGGTTTCCCTAAAGGACACAGTGCAGATTCAATACACTATTTACCAAACAAAAAACTAACCCTAAAGCTCTTTATTAGTCAGAGTAAGAGTGCTGATGAAACTAACCACAAA